TATATATATATAAAAAAATAATGATTCATTACTATTATATGTGGTCACTGCCAGAAATCAGAAGTTGGTGGAAAAATGTATTTGAAAATTCTAAACTTTAGGGAAAAAAAAAAGTCTTGATTCAAGTTCAGGTCCAGATATGGGTGAAATCTCAGGCTGGAGTGCAGACTTCTTATTTTTCTCTAAATTACCCCATGTTGATAGATGACATAAGTCTCCTATTAATGCAGAATGAAACCAATACACAAATATTAAAAGTGGGTATTTTGTTATCTTGTGTTACAGCTGTTATTTCAAGAAACCAAGAAGGACCTGGAGAAATGGGAAAGGCTGTGCTCATTCCCAAAGATGACCAGGAGAAAATGAAAGAGCTGTTTAAAATCAACCAATTTAACCTTATGGCCAGTGACTTGATTGCACTTAACAGAAGTTTGCCAGATGTAAGATTAGAAGGGTGAGTTTGTAATGCACTGTGTAATTTTCAACACATATGGCTCAAAAATCACACTATGAGCCATATTTTACCAATATATATTTGCCTGGGATTCCTAATTGATTTCATGGCATGATAGGGCTTGATATTTGATAGTATAATACTTGATTATTTTCAGTGGTTGGTTGAAGAAGCTGTTTGAAAACATAATGATTTATCTTTTGTATTCCCGTACTTACAAAATGCCTGTCAATGGCAATGGAAGTGTGTGTGGGGGTGTACTGAGGAGAATTAGATCTCAATCACATTTTCTAATGTGCCTTTTTATTTGTGTGTTTTTTAAATTGCTATCAGCGGACAACTGTGGCATGCACTGAGCAATTTATACAGCACTCAGTTACCAGCTATAGTACCTGAGGGAAAAAACAGTCTCTCTAATAATTCTGATTGAAACATATTGGGTGAAGATTTAACATGTGTATGCTTAATCAGAATCTTACTTTTTTTTTTTTAAAAAGGTAGTAAGAACTATTTCCAAAGGCTAGAAAGATGTCCTGAGAAGTCAGTAACAACATTTTTTCTCCAATACCATCTCTAAAGTTGTCTTCTAATACAGAGTTTTATGTATTAAAAAATGTTAGTGTTCCACATGATGTACCGGTAGTTTATGAAGTACTGTGAAATGTCAGGTTGCATCAATCACTTTAGCTATCTAATGTGTGTCACATCACTGGGATCATAGTTTCTTTTTTTCCCAAGGGGTACTTCTGAATATGTTATGAAAGTGTCCGTATTTACTATCTGAAGATTCATAGTCATTATGCACATAGATAGCTCCTAGCACTGAAGCACTAATGGTAGAAAAGTAAATTATCCAGAGACTGCATGATGTCTTACATCATAAGGTCTTTGTAAAGTCCTGACTCTTCTGATTACTGTAATTTTTATATTACAAAAAACTTGGCTCAAATTTGCCATCATTACAAAATTGTCTTGAGGAATTTTCTGTAATGTGCTGGCTTTGTGGGTGTCAATGAGTGTGTTGCCCTCAAGTCGAAAATCCATGTAGCGGCTTTGAGATCTACAAGTGTCAGTACCGCAGCTCTCCTTCAGTTCAAGAGGCCTATTTTTAATGGAGTCAAAGGACAAATGTGCCATCCATTGTGCTCTGTGTGTATGTGTGGATAAACATGTGATTTATAGAATAATTGTCAGTGTATGTGGTGCTACAAGTTGTTGTGTCAACTAAAATTCCTCATTCATTGCTGAATGTCATGGTTCAGTGAAAGGTAGAAAAAACTCCATATGGTACCTGGCCAACTCGGGCAATGGTGTATATAGGAGAGGATAGGAGGAAGAATTCCCTCCTGTCCCCCTAACATGTTTATGTCCCTATTTCCAGGAAATAATGGAGTTACTGCAGCATAAGCAAGGCCCTTCATTTTCAGTTTTTACCAATTTTTCCTGAAAAATTTCCAGGTTTAACAAAACCTTTTATTCAATAGTTACCAAATTTTGGATCGCTCAACTACATGAAAAATTGGATTAAGAAAATCCAACATATGACATTGGGCAGGTGTGTGTGATGATAAAAAAATTAGTCTATCTGTTAAAGTAAGACAGTGTCATGGAAGATACATATATATGCACATATGCATGCACCTCAGTGCTTGAGTCCTAAAATTAGAAGTGCTGGAACTCCCTGGATCCAGCTCCCTGCTCCGGAAGGAGAGATGGCAGCCTAGTAACCTGGGAATCCTAAGTAACAGAGCTGCCATATCTCCTTCTGGAACGGGCCTGGAAGTGGAAGAGGTGGAGAAGGCAGCATGAGGAGACTATGCCCTTCCTTCCTCTACCTCTTCCACTTCTGAGGCCACTCTTCTCTATTCGTTGCTTTATTTCTCTCTTGTCTCCGATATTTACCCGGAAAACTGAAGCACTGATTTTTTTCCCCATTTTTAATTTTTTTTTGTAATAAACAACACCGATAAATTCCTGGGAAATCTTAAACAAATAAAAACCAAAAACGAAGGGCCTTGGAGCATAAAGCTAATGTAATGGAGTGGAAAATCAGTCCCCTAATTTCTTAACTTCATTTTTTGGATATATAAAAAAATACTGTTTTTTGTTTGTTTGTTTTTTTAAAGGCTCAGTCCTACTAAAGAGGTTTTCAACTGAAATTACAGGCATGAAGGATTGACATTAGGGTCAAATTAAATTTTACATATGTTGGTATCTATTTAAGGATAGTTGTAGATTGCTATCTGGAAATTGAAATCTGGGAAGGCCCAGGGGCTTTGTAACCTCACACCTGAGTTACTGAAGACAGATGAGAGTATTGTTGTACCATGTCTGCACAGATTCTTCCAGACCATCTGGCTCACTAATATCATCTTTGACTGGAAGAAGGGTGGTGTTCTGCCTCTCGTTAGAAAAAGGCAATAAGGCTGGGTGTAATTGCCACTATAGATGTATTATGCTCTTGTCCGTCCCAGGGAAAGACTTTGCTTCTGAGTTAATGTCCTGAATCAGTTCTGAACTTTGTGGCAAAGGCACAAAACTTGGTCATTCCCCTGTTGACTAAATCTTTACCATGAGACAGCTTTTTGAGAAGATGCTTGAATTCAATAAGCCATGTGCAGCACTTTAGTAATAGACTTCAATCAAACTTTGATTCAGTGGATCGGGTGAGCCTGTAGGATTTGATGACGTGACTCGGCATCCCTGGGAAGATAACGTTATTAATAGAGTTCTATAATGAAATAGAAAGCTGTGTTTTGAGATAATGGTAGATACATAGCATGGTTTCCTGTTTCCATGGGAATTCGAGGCTACGTCCTATCATAACCTTTGTTCAATATTTGGTATTGATTGGCAGATGGATAAGCTAGAGGAGGCAACTGTCGGTGGTGCTGAGCTGAACATCATTTTGCTTTGATACCTTGAATACCTTGTCTTATTGGTTCAATCTGTGAATCACTGTAGTTGATAGCTGATCTGGTAGGGCCAGAACCAGTACACTTTGGTTTGGTTATCAATCAGACAGAAGTAAGTTCCTGAAGGAGTAGGGTGACCAGACAGCAAATGTGAAAAATCGGGGCTGGGGGGTAATAGGAGCCTATATAAGGAGAAGGCCCAAAAATCAGGACATCTGGTCACCCTATAAAGGAGACTTTGACAATAGATTACAACCAGCTCAGTATTAACCTGACCAGATGGCATACTGATCAGATGGCAACTGTTAAATACTTTGGCAGTGTTGCAGACAGTGCTGGAGTGCTTGAAACTTGTAGACGCTCATATAGTAGCAGCCAAGTTCCAGTCCGTTCAGTGGTCTCTGTGGAGATGTCATGGCATAAAGCTTACCACGAAGATGTGGATTGATAGAACCCTGGTTATACCAACTTGATTGTATGACACTGAAATATGGGTGTAGAGGAAGGCTGAAGAATGGTGGATTAGTGTTTTGATTCTTGTTGGCTTCATCAGCTGCTCCATATTAAGTGGCAGGACAAGATCAGCAATAAAGCTATCCATAGCGAAACCCAGTGAGTGCCTGTGTCGACACTGGTTCATTTTTTGGTGGTTTCCTTGGTACAGGCATATTAGGATGGAAGACCTATTACAAAGCATGTTTACCAAGGACTGTCACTGGTTGCCCGAAGCTTTGATGGTGTGATCGGTTCACCAGTGACCGACATAGACTGAACAGCCAGCCAGTCTTATGGACCTAGCTAGAGATCAGTCTGGGTAGTACTTGATCTGCATGAGGCTACAACCTTTTTGGATTTGCAACGATGATGATTGGTTTTGTGTATTTGTTTTTGTTTGGGGGCGGGGGGGGAGATTAATCTTGTTTTGGTCACTTAAAACATACAGAAATATGGGGCTGGCTGACCTTTATCTTCCCCTTTCAATTCTGTAGTCCTCATCTGTTCTATATTTTGCCACCTAGATACTCTGATAATGGCACACATATCAAAAATGTAATAAATTGCTAAATTTGTTCTCTCAAATGACTTCCAAAGTGGATCCCACTTTTACCTTATTATTGCTGGACCTTCCATCCCTATTCAGACACTTTCTGATAGGCTACTCTTCTCTCTCTACCTTCTCTCTAGCTCTCCCTTCCTTGACAAGGACTTTTCTTTTTTTAAATGATAAGATTCTGAGTAGTTAAAAATCCATATGCATGCCTGATCTCACATGCTTATTTGCATATAAATATAAAATGCTTCTCTTTTTTAAGAAACATACTAAAAGAGCAACTGAAAGATAAATTAAACATTTAAGTATTAAATGTGTTATGTATTCCATGTTTTGTTTTGATGTGGGAATTATAGGGTATCAGCGACCACATGAAAGCTACTACCCTGTTTCCCCGAAAATAAGACATCCTCCGAAAATAAGGCCTACTTACAGTTTTGCCTCTCGTTGTAATATAAGGCATCCCCCCGATAATAAGACCTCCCCGATAATAAGGCATCCACCGATAATAAGGCATTTTTCATTTCTGAAAAATAAGACATCCCCTGAAAATAAGACCTAGCGCATCTTTGGGAGCAAAAATTAATATAAGACACTGTCTTATTTTCGGGGAAACAGGGTATCTGAACAGATAAGGAAGGAAGATAAAGCTTGTCTAAGTAGTTCATCTACCCTAAGGCTCATCATTCTGCAAGAGTGTCAACAGCTGGCATATAAACAGGATCATTTCAGTATGTTACTTTATCTTCCCTAATCCTTCAGTATTCCCTGAGAACAATATTCATTAGTCAAACTGATTGGCTGGTACTTATTACTAATAATTTAGTGCCTGATTCTGCAAATGCTCAGACACATGAGTAATGTGAGTACTCAGGAGTTGATTTACTCATGTGAGTGTTTGCAGGATTGATTACTAGATTATTCAGGAAAAGTGTGAGGCAAACTAAATTATAAAAATACCAATTTTAAATTATTTCTCATTTAAAAAAAATCATGTTCCTAAAATATCATGACCTACATTTAACTCTCAATT